TCAAGGACACTTGTGGAATACGTTTTTTTTCTCCTAGCCTGATCTCCTATAAGCTTATATGGTTATCGGTCCAAATACGAGGAAACTCATTGTCAATTGCAGCCTCAATGAAAAGTTACTGGGTAATAATTATTACGACATTAAATTAGGTTCTTATCGAAGTCACATTTAGGGGACCTTGGAGCAGTTGGGTCTACAACTTGGAACTCCGACCAAAACCTTAATCCTAGACCATGGTCTCTTTGTATCCTTAAACATTACCAAGTAGCGTTGCCATTAATCTTTTTCACGTGTTGTTTAGTTCTATTGGAATATCGTTTTTGAAAGAAACAGTGGTTATTTTTTCAGAAGAGATAATTTGTAGTTAGAACTATGACTTAACCTTTTGATACAAGACTTCAACGTTTTTAAAAAACATGGCCTTATTCCCCTGCTCTCACTTGTTGGTTGTTTCACTGTTTGGGTGAACAAAGTCAATAAAGGGTGGGCTTCCTGGCCAACAGGACACCCAAAACAGGTGGACTATCTGGATATTGCACAGAGCTTGCTGTGGATAAACACGACTATGGTCTACAGTCACGTGTAAGAGAATGCAAAAATAACATGCGAGGGGGGAGGGGCAGGGCTGCACTAAAACGATATGGCAGTTGCATCCGCCCCTCAATCATCACAGGCATTTACAGAGGGTGGTGGAAAACTGAACAGCACAATACCAGGACGCGAGCTGCCGATCATGGAGGGACTTAATCCAAGCACTCAGGAAGAAAGCTTCAGGATTACAAAGACCCCATCACCTCGCCACAAACTGTTCTGTGCTGCTGCCATCTGGCAGGCAGGTAGCGGCAGGGAAGAACACCAGAACGAGGAAGCGGGCGCACGAGGGGGAGACCGGAGCGGGGGGGGTAAAGAGGAGAGGAGTGGGGGCGAGAGAAATTGCACTTGTTTGAGGAACCTTGTCTAAGCTTTTCATCACATTACAAAATTACAACGTAGATTGTAAAATGAAAATAACCTTTGAATCTTGAGCTACTTTGGAATTTGTCTTTAGTTAATGAGCGGGAACCGGTCGATCTCGAAAGGTAGGTTGTGGAGGTCACCATGGCATTGATCATAAAAGAAATGAAAGACAGAAAACAAAAATGCATTTGCCCACTTGATTGACGTACAGGTAAAGGCCAGTCTGAGATCTCATAGTTTTCTAAACACGCAGTTTCACCACGCCATGCACGGTCAACGCACCCCTAGCGATACTAGTTAGCCTTCCCAATTGATACAATTCTACTAAGAAAGGGTATAAGGGGGCCTCACCTCCTCATCTGAAGCGCAAATGCGCACAATAGGTGTAATGCGACGACCACAGTTTCTCCGACGCTTCGAGGTTCCAGTGTCGCAGTCCCTAAGCACCCCCCCCCCGTTCGCGACACACAGAGCCTCACCACATGACTTTGGGCAGGGATCTACCCTGTAGGTAGATCCCTTTGACTTGGTCATTTTATAAGTAGCTCTCAAGCTGAAAAAGTGTGGGCACTCCTGATCTACATAATAACCTAATGACAGCGCTTATCGAAATATCAGAGGATCAC